AGAAACTTAATCGTAGTTTTACAAGATGGATTACATGAAACTTCATTGACTGGAACGTTTGAAGAACTCATTTTTTTTAAATATGCCCTTTGACTAAAAACTCAAAAGTCAACCTCAAAAGTCAAATTTAAAAAGTCAAACTCAAAAGACAAACTTAAAAGTCAAACCGAAAAGCTAAATTTGAAAATTTAAAAGTTAAACGAGAAAGTCAAAGTTTAAAGTCAAAGGTCAAGTTTTAAAAGTCAAAGTCAAAATTTTAAATAAAAAGTCAAAAATAAAAGTAAAAAATTAAACACTAAAATTTTTGGTTGAAATTGGAATTTAAGATGAAAAGAAATTGAATTTTGGGTTGAATTTGTCAAAATTGCGAAAAAGGAACCGAGAAAGTAAATCATTAAGAATTAAGAACGGAAGTATGATATCATCTCGCAATGTAGGTGAGCTGGTAACGCAGTTGGTTGTGTTGGCAGGAGACCCGGGTTCGATCCCTGGCACCTCCAACTTCGCTTCCTTTTTACTGATGCGAGGATGCTGAGTGTGAAGCCTGTCCGAAGTTGGAACCGATGCTGAGCCGTGAACGAGGTGAGGACCGCAGACTACGAGCTGCAAACGCCGCCGTAAACCGCCGGCCGTAAACTCCGGCGGAACCCTAGCCGTAAACGCCGCCGCCGCCTCGCTGGTTACGACCAAAAACAGCGATTTTTGCCCCTTTTTGCTCCAAAACTCGATCAAAAACTCGTTTTTATCAAAAACGCGAAGAACAAACCCCCTTAATTTTCAGAGATCTATCAAAAAACACAGAAATCTTTCAAAAATAAGATCAAATAAGCTCCACTTTTTGCTCCAAAACTCGATCAAAAACTCGATTTTATCAAAAACGCGAAGAACAAACCCCCCTTAATTTTCAGAGATCTATCCAAAAACGCAGAAATCTTTCAAAAAATAAGATCAAATAAGCTCCAAATCTGACAAAATTGACTGATACAAACCAGGCTCTGATACCAATTGTAAGTCTCTAATCTACTTGTGTATCAATCAGATCCGTTTGATGGTGCGGAATCCCAATCAAACGGATGATGTCAGATCAAATAGAAGAGAAGGAGAAGAAGAAGATGATGAATCTTGTATGTATTGATATGAATGAAAATCCGGATACAAGATTCACACACACTAACACACACTCTCTTTTCTCTCTCTGTAGAACACCTTCAAATGCACACATTTAAGCTCCTCTATTTTATCTAGCTTTTTTCTTCACACCCCTCACCCTATATATACATGAGAAACATGGGCCATGAATGGGTTTACGGCCGTAAACCTGCTGACGGCCGTAAACACTGACCGTAAACACTGACCGTAAACACTGAGTTGTTTACGGTCCTAGACATAAAAATACATTTTTCCTAGAAAAGCAAAGTATAAACCATAATTTTGACCCAACAGTATGTGGTTATATGTGTAGTATGTGGTAGTATGGGGAACTCACTAAGCTTCATGCTTACAGTTTTCAGTTTGGTTTCAGGTACGTCCAGTAGCGGAGGGAAGAGCTCGGGATGACTGCATCGCACACACCATGATGTTTTAGCCTTGGATAATTTACTCTGATATGATATGTTTAGACATGATACTCTGATTAAATATGTTTTGAATGAATGGTTTCACAACTATGGTTTTTATTATAGTTTTAAAATGAAATTTTTGGACATGATTTTTGGGACGTTACAATTAGGTGCTCTAAAAATTAATTAACTACACAATAATTCAATTCATATAAGTGACTAATCAAACATAAATCAAATTCAAGGATTATTTGTTAAAAAAGAACATAATCACTAGAATAGAATCATAAATCAAACATCAAGCCATATGCATCAAATCAAACAATCAACATGTTCTGAATATGAACGATAAATTAGGGTTTCTTAGCTACACATGGCTAAGAACAAATCAAACAAAATATGAAATTGGAAAAGTTTAATGCTTATATATGGAAATCAAAAGTGTTTGCAATGATTAGAAATCTTCAAAATCTCCCACACTTGCCCACTTATGCTCTCAAAATCGTTCGTCTGTGTAAAATGATGGATTTACTCCTTTTTAGCACCACAAGTAATTGATCACATGCTTGACTCAAGAGCATATGTTTTTGGCATGACCATGTGTTTTGAATAAAGGTCGTGTTTTTTGCTAAAACTCCAACCAGTATTTAGACTTGGCTCCATCTTCGGTCTAGCTTCGCCGCAAGTCATGTTGCTCCAAATATATGATGAAAAGGACAAACACAATCCGTGTCGGTGTGACACAGGCCATTTTTCAAATGTGGTCCTTTGCTATGATGAAACACAACGACTCGGGTTATGTCTTCAAGCTTTCTTCCGTGACACGACCGATCCATCTTCTTTTCCTGCTTTAATGCTCCAAGCTTCATCATCCAAGCTCCATGCTCGCCTCCGTAGCTCCAATTATCTGTGCTCCATAATGCCTACAAATTAAATAAAAAATAGTGAAGTACCCTACATCCTGAATAAAACATGCAAGTGCCCAAATAGTTAACTAAATGCAAGAATTAGGAAGTAAAATGCAATGGGAAGACATAAATAGACGTGCAAAATAGGTGCACAAAATGCACCTAACAAAAACTATTAAAACACTATTTATGACACTAGATGATCAATTTACTTCATGATTCCTCAAAGAATTCTTGAATACCAAAACTAGACAAGAGGATACATTCAATGCAGGAAAACAATCTTGGTACATAGTTCCATAATCAATAAAGTTGAATTTCCCAATTAAAGTAAAGTTTTATTCAATATTTCATAATCTCACCATGAGACTAAGATTGGCAATGGATCATAAATTAGAATGGAAATACACAACCTAAGCATAACTCATTGTTTGAAAACCACAAGTCTTGATCTAGAACACTTAGGGTTTGTAAATACCCAATTCATAACATAAAAGCTAAACTTGAATCAAATCCTAAAAATCTCACCATTAGTCGTGAATCAACAAATGGGTCTTGGATTTGAAAGAACATAAGTAATCTAATATCAAGTTCAAGCTCATATCATTGCTTGGAACCATACATTTCGAATCTATGAACTCTAGAATTGAAAATACATAAATCATCAACATAGAAGTTAGATTTGAATCAAATACCAAATAATCTCACCACAAGTTATAATTTGACAAATGGATCATGAATTTGAACTTAAATACAATCACTAAGCATAAATCAAGCTCATAACTAGACAATAAACACCAAATTCGAATTTCACCATTGGAGGTCAAGGAAACCCATCAAAACAACTCTAATCTCACAAATCTCACAATTATTAACTAATTGGAGCTTGGAGATGGATCAAGGAACGAAATTACATCAATAATCTCATAAGAACATAAAAAATGAAGTATGAAATTCGAATTTGTACAAACACATAAACCCTGGGTCGAATTTGCGGAAGAAAGGGTGAAGAAGATACCTCCAAGCTAAATTATCAAGAGGAAATGATGGGGATTCAACCAACAATCTTCAAGATTCAAACACCAATAAAATTTGAAGGAAAATCGAGTTTGAGAGAGAGAGAAAATCGTTGGAAACCGAATGGGGGAGAAAGGGTTAAAGAATGAGAAAAGCTCGAAAAAAAACACAACTTATAATCTGTTCAGCGAAGCAAAAGCACAACGCATTTGTTATGGGGCGGCACACTCCCCTCAAAATTCATTTCATATTTGGTTCTTAACTTAGCTAAAAACTTAATAAAAGTTATCTTTACTCTACAATTGGTCATTCTCCATGATAATTCATGCAAACCTAATTCGAGATACTTATTTGGTCAAATTCTCGGGTTAAACACAAAGTTTTCTCAACTTATCACTTTTGGTCCATAAACCTTAAAAGTTATATTTTTACGCCAAAACTTTGTCACAAGTTTTCCCAACTTATTTACGGTTTAACAATAAGGTTTATTATGGTTAGCAATTAAAACCATTTATTTTTATTAATTAATTTATTTCACTTCAATTTATTTTAATTTGAATTAAATAAGTTTTTTTATTTTACTAAAAAACTTAAAACTTCTAGCCCCGGTTTTTCATTAGGTTACGATCCAACCGATGCAACCGGTAGATTTGACCCGATTTTTAAAACATGGATAATAGGCGTAAAGCCCATTTGGCTGTCAAGCAACACGACTCCATTTTTTTTTTTTTGAGACAGACATTATCAGACATTTTATCACTTTGGGTTTTGCAAAAAGTCGCACGTGACGAACTCTTTTCACCAAAACCCCCCACCCAGTCCCAGTATTCATCGCAGAGGTTTCAGGGTAATTAACGCCCCCAAAGCAGGAGTCTCGGAAACGCAGGAAAGACAACGCAATCGCACGAAAGGTACATACAAATATACAATTAACTTTCCTTTTTAAATCTTTAAGTTTTATCCTACTTGATAGTCTCAATTCTTGATTGACATGATCTTTATCCGAATGTGATTGTGTTTCATCGGCTGAATTTTGTTTGCTAATTGTATAAATCCTTGTTTTGATTCTGTATGACAATAATTTGAAGTTTAAATCAATTTTAATTCTGGAATTGATTTCACAAGTTGATTGTTAGAAGCTCCTTGCACGAATTCGTAAATTGCTATTAGGGTTTTAATGTCTCGGAATGATTTTTCTCCTTAATATGATTTGTTTTGGGCACATAAACACATAACTCTTACAAACAGAAACAAGTTTATCACAGTTCTAAATTTCTGTGTAGAATTGTGTAAATTGATAGACTTGTCTCAAAACTTTATGCATCTTAGGGTGTTTGGTTATAAAGATATGTACATAGTTTTGATTGACATGGTTTATGTGATATTCTTTCATATAAAGATATATTCATGGTTTTGCTCTATCCTTTGATATCATTCTTCAATATGAGTATCAGTTTTGTTGCAATTAGCATCAAACTGACTATTTAAAAGAATCAAGTAATCATAATAGGACCATATGGGTTCAAGAGGAACAAACATATTGCTATCAAGGGCAAGTAGGATCAAATCAAAGCTTCAATCGGTGCTTGAGGCCAAGATTTTGGAAGTTGAAGATGTTTCATATCAGCATGCGGGCCATGCTGCTGTTAAGGACAATGCAAATGAAACACATTTTAATGTGAAAGTTGTTTCCGGTAAATTTGATGGACAGAATCTTGTGAAGCGCCACCGTATGGTTTATGATGCACTTGCGGATGAGCTTGAATCTGGTTTGCATGCACTTTCCATTGTTGCAAAGACTCCTAAAGAAGCTGGACTTTGATTGAAAAAGATTTTATTGATTATTGATGGCAAGTTTTAGTTTAGTGCTTTATTGAATGATGAAATAAGTTTTGGTTTCTTAGTTGCACATTCTTGCTTATTGTGATGAATATATTTGTTTGTTATGATTATTGTATTGAATTTTGTGTTTTTATAACAGTGTGTTGTTGATTATTTATAGGGCTGTTTCCGTGCTTGGTCTTGTATTGTTGTTTTAGTGATGACATTTTTTTTGACATAAAATAAAATGTTGGATAAATATACATTAATAATTTGTAGTTATTGTTAACAATTTGAAATAAGCAAATGAAAGTAGTTTCTTTGCTCACATGATGAAGTGGCCCACAAACAAGACAAAATATAACAAGTTGTACTATGTTTGATGTGTGTTGGTTTGAGACTGATGTTAATAAGACAAAATAACAATTTTTTGTCCCATCCAAAAAGGTGAAAAATGTCGTCGCCCTTGATTGCTCATCTATGCAAATGATATGAATATCCTCTTCATCATCGTGAGAAAAGCCCTACAAAGATGCCAATGGAATAGATGGATAGGTTTAGATGAACAAATAAATTAGAATTGAACTGGACGGGACCAAACAAAATTTCTAGGACTATTTTTGATGATGCGTATTAGGAGGACATTTATGTCATTTGCATAGACGAGAGGTCAAAAGCGAGTCTTTGTCCTATTTTTTGGGTGAGACAAAAGCTATTTTTGGGTGAGACAAAAGCTGTGATTTTCCTCTCATTTGACGTTAATCTCAGTCCTAGGTATACAAATACATCACAATCTATTCTTTTTGTAATCTCATGTCAGTCGTCATGTTTCCCTTATTGATGTTTTTTTTCTTTCAAATCCTTTTGCAATATAATAATGGATTCGCCGTTTTAATACGAGGAGAGAACCTCGAAAAGACGTTTCCGTTTCCGATTACTAGACAAGGGAATCGGTGATTGCCATCTTGTATTCTCTACGATCTAGTAGCCTGAAAAATGTTGGGGGAACTACAAATATCGATCAAAAGGAAAGGTATCGCCCGGTCGATCTCAATATCATATGCTAAATCACTCAACCAAAGTTGACCATGAAAAAAACAAAGGGCATCTTGTTTAATTAGGCGTTTATTGTTACTTATTTTGTTGTGCTTTATATTTTATTTTTGTTTGAGTAGTTAATGATGATGACCAATTTCATGTTGTATTTACTTATTTAACCTAGTCTTAAAAGATATATTTATTTAACCGGAACATGTTCAACCCATCTTTTTGATTAGATTTGTTAACTGATTACATTGATAATGGTGAGATGACTATGTTTTGGAAAGATATGTGGCTTGGGAAATTCGTTTGATGAATCAATTTTCAAGATTGTTTTCTTGTGTGAAGGAATGTACTATTAAACATAGATGAAATGATATGACATGTGATTGGAATCGGAGTAAAATGGTTAATGGCGGAACACTCTTAACTCATATTAAACAAATCGAGGATTTGGTTTAGGGCATGCAATTTACTTTGAAGGGTGATAAGTGGGTGTGGAATCTTGGAGGCAATGTTGAGTTTTCGGGTGCTGAGGTTTGGAAGCATATTAATGATCAAAATTTACCAAATGGTGGTGTAACTACTCGTTGGAATAAAAATGTCCCACGAAAGGTGAATATTTTTTATTGGCTTCTTTGATGTAATCAGCTATTGACTCATATTAATCTTGAAATGAAAGGAGTTGGCATACCTTTGGTTGTATGTGGCATATGTAACACTGATATGGAAGATGTAGTACATCTTTTTCTTACATGTCAAGTTGCGAGGGATGTTTGGTCTTTTTTGGGAAGATGGTGCGATACTTAGTTCCCGATGTTTAATGGTATTGAAGATGTCATTAATCGGATGAACTCAATTCATTTGTCTAAATTCAAACAGTTGGCACTGGAATCAATTGTCATGACTACGTGGTGGCTTTTGTGGAAATTCCGAAACGACATTCTTTTCAACAATCAAATTCTTCGAAGGAATATTTTGGTTGATAGTTAATCGATTATACCTACAATTGGTTCGTTAATAAGAATAGACGATTTAGTATTAGTAGAAATTTGTGGCAATTTAATCCAGGATTGTCTATTCGATTGTAATTCTGTATTTTTCGTTAGCTCTTTGCTAACTTGTCTTTAATAAATCATTTAGCCGTTTGAAAAAAAAATTGATCAATATAAAGGAATTTCATTAACATTGATAAACTAGGGCCATGTGAGCTGTCAATTTTTTTCAAAACAAGAATAAAATAATTCGATTATTAATGTAAAACGACTTTAATATCGACTTTAATCAATGTCAAAAGTAGAGATCCTGATTGTTGAGGCCCAACTAATGTAATTAAGAATGAATAACGAGCTTATTTTCATTTATTCAATATAGAATAAAAAAAAAGACAAACCATACCATCCAAGCAACCTACATTAACTTATATCAGGGTCCATGTGCAAGGTCAATCGTGGAACAATAATAATATTTTGGATATTTCAGAGTATGAATATTAGGGTGTGTTTAGCAAGAAGCGTTTCAGAGCTTCTAGCTTTTGACAAAACGTTCGATTTAAACACAAAGCTTCATTTGGCAGTACGAGCTTTTAACTTTTAGTTTAAACAAAACGCTACAAATCTGAAATGTAACGTTTAAGAAAAAGCTATTAAGCTTTTAGAATCAATTTCCACAATTGCCTTTAAAAATATGTTTATATATTTTTCTTTTTTAAACAATTGTCCTTTTATATAATTTTACACATTTCAAAAGCTTCTAACTATTTTTGTCAAACACTTATATAACAAATAAAAGTTACAGCTTCCAGCTACCAACTACCTAATATCAACTTCTAGCTACCAGCTACATACTATCAACTACTAGTCACCAACTACCAATTAGTTTTGCCAAACACGCCCTTTTATGTGTGGAGTTTCGCACTTCAACCATCAAATTCAAATCAGGAGGGATAAAATTTTTAGAATATATACTAAAGAGAATGTGGGCCAGACAATAATACAATATACAAATACAATGTTAAGGAATAAATATGCATGATGCAACTACACTAAACATTAGTATTCCTTTGCAGTTTGAATGTGAAATGAAGCTTCGACGTTGAAACTGAATTGAAAATTGGAGAACATAAGATAGGATAACTTTTTGTGAAAATGTTCAACATATTGAAGAGATGAAGGATCATAAAGCACGCGAACCCCACCAATTCTGTCGTACATCAATGGTGAATTTCAACATGAACACAATGACGTCCTATTCTCATCTGCTTGGTTCTTCAACCAAAATTCCTATGCTGATTCCCAAATTCTACGATCAATGGGCTGATCGTATGGAAGACTACTTGAACGGTATCGATGAAGAACTCTGGAACTGTATTATTGGTGATGTTCGTCCTCCTGCTGCTGTTCAGAGCATTGGAACTTCTTCAACAAATCAAAATGTCAATGAATAATCTGAGAGATTTTTGAAGAACGAGAAGAAGTGTATGCGTGAATTAAGAGACGCTCTTCCTCCAGTTGTGTACAATTATGTACGAAGCTGTAAAACTGCCAAAGAAATTTGGGATACTTTGAAAGAAAAGTATCAAGGTAGTGAGAAGACCAAAATAAATTAAGTGAAACATTGTCTGGTGGAATTAAGAGAGTTTAAACAGAAAGAAGGTGAATCTATCGAATTGTATTATGATCGTCTGAATGAGCTCATCTATAAGTGCAATCGATATGGAATCACCACGTCAACTATGGAGTTTAATCTCACATTCATAATGGGGCTTCACAAAGAATGGAGGAATGTTAGTCTGATGGTGAAGACTCAACAAAGTTTTGATTATTTCACCTTGAATGATCTTTACAATTTGTTGAAAACTCATGAAACCGAAGTGAATGAAATAGCTGAAGAGTCGAAAATCAGTATTGGTGGTCCACTAGCTCTTGTATCGAAGATTTCAAGGAGAGAAGCTGATAAAGAAAGTGTTGAGAAAGAGAATTTTGAGGATGAAGGTCTTATTGTTAATTCAGATGACGAAGCCGTAGCATTTTACTCTAACAATCGAGTAAAGAAGTTCTTTAAGAAACCGTTTAATGCAAAGTCAAAAACAACTGATGGAAAAAGAAACTTCTCTACGAAGACTGCGAGTGAAGAGAAGAAGATGGAAAAGAAGGAAGTTCGTGTTGATGAGGAGAAGAAGGAGAAAAAGCTCAAAGGAGACTCAGTTTTCGACTGCCATTATTGTAATGGAGCGAATCACATGGCGAATGATTGTATGTTGAGAAAGAGGGATGAGAAGAAAAGTAAGATCAAAGATGAGGCTTACTATGTCGAAAAACTGGAAGAGGTGCATACAAAAGCGAAAGGTTTATCATTGGTGGCCAAAGGTATGGATGAAGACGAAGGTACATACCAGATTTGGTCATCTGGCTCAGAGAATGAAGAAGCACGAAATCCTACCTATGGAGCGATGTTTGCTATGCATGAGGATGAAGAAGAAGAGAAAATAACGGGGAGATGCTTTGTTTCGAAATCTTCGTACAAATCTCCAATGACTTCTCAGGTACGTTATCTTTTGCAATCTTTTAATATTCCCTCTAGTACATATGATTCGATACTATCTAAGTTTGATGCAGCCATTACTTACGTTAATGATCTACTTATTTCTGCTAGTAATGATGCTAAGAAGTCAAACATACAACATTTAGAAATCCAGAAGATGTTGGATTCGAAGAAAATAAAAATAGAATACTTAGATATGCAAATAACAAATTTGATGTGTGATAGGGATAGACTAAATGCATATGTTAAATTGTTGTTAAAACAACGAAATATATACTGTAACTCTGCCAAAAGATTGTATGGAAAATTGACAACATTACATCATTCTTCGGATATTAGCAAAGACCAACATAGGAAACTTTTGCCCTTTTTGGTATTTGAAAGGGAGAAAATTGACTCTATTTCCTATGATTGTGA